TTTAAGAAGATGTTGGGGGTAGGAGTTTATTAATTAATTAATTTATTTTGGCTGTGTTGGGTCTTCGTTTCTGTGCGAGGGCTATCTCTAACTGTGGCAAGCAGGGGCCACTCTTCATCGCGGTGCACAGGCCTCTCACTATCGTGGCCTCTCTTGTTGCGTAGCACAGGCTCCAGACGCGCAGGCTCAGTAGTTGTGGCTCACAGGCCTAGTTGCTCCGCAGCATGTGGGATCCTCCCAGACCAGGGCTCGAACCCGTGTCCCCTGCATTAGCAGGCAGATTCCCAACCACTGCGCCACCAAGGAAGCCCCTAAAAGACTTTTGAATTTGTGAGTCATAAAGAAAGGATTAAGAACTGTATTCGTTGACTTCCCTGGTGGTGTAGTGGTTAGGAATCCTCCTGCCAATGCAGGCGACATGGGTTCGAGCCCTGTTCCGGGAAGATCCCACATGCCCTGCAGCAACTAAGCCCATGCACCACAGCTACTGAGCCTGTGCTCTAGAGCCCATGGGCCACAACTACTGAGCCCGAGAGCCACAACTACTGAAGCCCGTGCGCCTAGAGCTTGTGCTCCACAACAAAGAGAAGCCACCGCGACGAGAAGCCCACACACCGGGACGAAGAGTAGCCCCCGCTCGCCGCAACTAGAGAAAGCCTGGTGCATCAACGAAGACCCAACACAGCCAAAAATAAATAGGTTAAAAAAAAAAAAAAGAACTGCATTCTTCTTTTTTCAATGGCTATCTCTCCTACAAAATGTACCCCAAGAATGACCCTCATCACCCCAGAAACCATGAGGATCTGTGCAGCCTTCTCACCACTTAAATATATGGTCTGTTTCTGATATACATGCTGGGTGTGGGTGTCCTGTCACTCGCACCAGAGGGAGAAAAGTCCTCGATTCCAAGGCCAGGCCGGCTCCTCCCTCTCACGTTCTCCAAGGCCTCTCCCCAGGCTCAGGCCATGACCCCGGTGCACACTCAGAGGAGGTGACCAGCTGGTTCCGAGCCTAAATGCCCAGAAAATTTTCAAACACAGGGAGTGACCTTGGGGATAAGCTGCTTGCTTTCCTTTTGCTTCTGCCTGTTTTGATAGTACACCGAAAAAAAAAAGAGTGGTTCAAAATTACAGATAATTTTTAGGGGTGGTAATGGTATTGTGGTTTTGTTTTGTTTGTTTTTTGTTTCAAGAGTCTCTTATCTTTTAGAGAGACATACTGAAATATTTATATGGATGACGTCTGAGATTTGCTTCAAAGTAATCCAGATGGGAGCATAGTGAGGACAGAGTTGAAACAAGACTGGCCAGGAGTTGACAACTGCTGGAGCTGGGTGATGGGTTCCTGGGACTCATGTACCAGGCTCTCTACTTTTGTCTCTGTGTAAAATCTTCCAAAAGTCTTTCAAAGAGTAAACTCTCTTCCTGTTTTCCTACACGGAGGATCCTGGGCAGGGCAGATTCTCTTCTGTGTTATAAGGGAGACATCATGGAAAAGCTGTTGGGGAGACCCAGATGGTCTCCGGAAGCTTCTTCTGTGGCCTCTAACTGCATCTTTTAAAAGGAGCTCACAGGACTTCCCTGGCGGTCCAGTGATTAGGACTCCGTGCTTCCACTGCAGGGGGCACGAGTTCGATCCCTGGTTGGGGAATTAGGATCCCGCATGTCGCATGGTGCAGCCCCAAAATAAAGAAATAAAAGGAGCTCACAGCAAAAATAACACTGGGGAGTACAACTGTAAGCTGATGAAATGCTAGCAGACTAGCTGCCAGCCAATAACTGATCGTCTCTCTGCCTGGCCAGGGGGGTCCCCAGAGCCCTAGATGAGAAACAGACTCCCAGGCCCCTCCTCCAGCCTTGCTGGCACCCACTCTCCAGGAGAGAGCCCCTGGGAGTACTTCTGCACATTTTGATGGCGGTGCGTGGATCTTGTAGTACAACTATAAAAACCGAAGAGGGAAATGAGAGCGGGTTATCCCACTCTGGGTAAGACCAGGCTGTCAAAGAAGTGAGAAGCCACACAGATCAGGTAAGCTTGGGGGCGGATGGGGGCAGAGGTGGAGGAGCCCGGGGGCAAGGGCTCTGGAGCCCGTATCTCTGGGAGCAGCTTCCCACTGCAGGCCCGGCTTTACCCAGCGTCTGCATGGCTTCCTCGCTCTGCTGGACCTGCTGGGACATCATCCTGCTGATCCCCATGAGGCTCTCTGTGATAGCACTGGACGTCTGAGCCAGGCTCTCTTTGGCGGTTTTCCTAGAAGTCCAGAGTGGGAGGAGGAATGTCAACAAAAGCCCGGCTGCAGGAAAGCCCCAGATTCAAATGAGATCCCATTTTCTAATCTATCGAATTAGTACATATTTTTAAATGATCATAGTCAGTGGTGACAAAGGCGTGCAGAGAGCATGCTCTTGAAGACTGCTGACAGGAACGTAAACTGGTGCTACCTTCTGAAAGCCATCTGGCGATATGTATTAGGAGCCTTAGAAATGTTCACGCCTTTGAACCAATAATCTCATCTGGGAATCTCTCCAAGGGAAACATCCAGAATGTGGACAAAGCCTTATGTACTGACATGTGCCCTGGTGTGTTATTTATAATACTGACAAACTAGAAATATAAACACACACAAACAGGGGATTAGTTAATATAAGGGAAAACTATGTACTATTAACATTTTGTTTAAAGAGCTTTTTAAAAAAAAATGTAAGCCTCTGTGCAATGATACTACGTGAAGGAGAGTAGGAGACAAAATTTTATGTATGGTATGATATTGACTTTATAAAAAATATGGAAGAAAAAATAATGAGAGGAGGCAATATATCAAAACGTTTGTGAGTAGTACAATTATGACTTACTTTCAGTTTGTTATTCATATTTTTATTTTACTAATTTACTACAAATAAGAATATATTTCTTTCATACTTAAAAAAATATATTACTTATAAAATTAAATACTAATTTTATGCTGAAAACAAGAAGGGCTTCCCCACAGCGGGTTTTGCACCTTGCCGATTGCTCTTTATTCTGTCACCAGAACCCAGAAAGACAAAAAGACAGGTACCTTTGCCTGAAGAGGTCTCCTCCCTGGAGAAGTTCTGCTTTCTCTAGGTTGTCAATAGCGATTTTGCAAGTGAGATTTGCCTTCCTCCATGAGGTCTGATTGCTGGAATTAGAAGGGTCCTGTGTGAGTTTCTGCTAATGCCACCAGGCTGTCAGTTCAAGTCACAGCAGGTCTTCCTTCCAGCCAGGGAGCAAGGAAGGCCACCCGAGTTTGGCCCAGGGTCCATCCCCACCTCCCACCACTTCCTCCACTTGGTTGCCCCAGCAGCTGCTCCAGCTCAGGCCCCAACACCTCTTGTCTGGATCCTGGAGGCTGTCTCTGAGTTGTTTTCCTACTGCCCATTAACTGTCCCTCTCCCCGCAGGACAGCCACAGGGAGCAACCTGGCCACAGCATGCCTCTGTTTACAGCCCACAATGGCTCCAGACTTCAGGGTAACATCCAAACTTCCCAGCGGGGCACACGAGGCCCCGTTCAAAGTTATCTCTTACACATTACTGCCTTGCCTTGTGTGTGGCTTGGTTCTGCTCCTCGAGAACCGTGCCTCACTCATCTTTGTATAACCAGTACCCAGAACAGCAGTTATTGGCCCATTAGCTGCTCAATCAATATGTGTAATAGGAAGTAGAAAAATCATTATAAGACAGTCTTCTTCAGTATTTCTTCAAGATTTGCTGTTCTTTACATACCACAGACCAATCATGGACAACACAAACACACTGTATTAGAAGAGTCCAGTCCGACATGATTTATTTACATTTTTTACCTGATCTCCTTGTGAGAAACAACTCAAATTTGGTGAAGAGTTCCCTGGAGTTCGAGTGGGGTCTTTTTTTATTTAATATTTTATTGAAGTTGATATATAATGTTGATATAGTGGATATATAATGTGTTAATTTCTGCTAAATAGCAAAGTGACTCAGTTACACATATATATATTTTTTCATATTCTTTTCCATTATGGTTTATCACAGGATATTGAATATAGTCCCCTGTGCTATACAGTAGGACCTTGTTGTTTATCCATCTTATACATACTAGTTTGCACCTACTAATCCAAAACTCCCAGTCCTTCCCTCCCCTACTCCCCCTTGGCAACCACAAGTCTGTTCTCTCTGTCTGTCTGTCTATCTGTTTCATAGATACGTTCATTTGTGCCGTATTTTAGATTCCACTTATAAGTGATATCATATGGTATTTGTCCTTCTCTTTCTGACTTACTTTGCTTAGTACGATAATCTCTAGGTTTGTTGCAAATGGCATTATTTCATTCTTTTTTATGGCTGAGTAATATTCCATTGTATATATGTACCACATCTTCTTTATCCATTCATCTATCGATGGACATTTAGGTTGTTTCCATGTCTTGGCTATTGTGAATAGTGCTGCTATTTACATCAACATAGGGGTGTATGTATCTTTTCGAATTATAGTTTCTTCTGGATATATGCCCAGAAGTGGGATTGCTGGATTATGTGGTAAGTCTATTTTTAGTTTTCTGAGGAACCTCCATACTGTTTTCCATAGTGGCTGCACCAATTTACATTAGAGTGAGGCCTTTGTTTGATGGACTATAAAAAAGTTAACTGGGCTCCTCAGAGAATCAAACTCATGCACTAGAACTCTTATGCAGCTGGCTCAAATCAATTGTGCTAACCCCTGGAATATTTAAAGAGGCAAATGAGAGTACACGAACTGATAGGGTGGTTTTGAATAGCACCTCTATGTTGAAAGTGTTCAAATGAGCTCTCTGATGCCTGACCAGCATCTGCTATGCTGTCTCACACCTGATACTTTAAAAGAATCAATTACATTTTCAACTGTTTACAAGGGAGTTCTGCTGGGCCCTGCAATGCAGAGATAAGTGAACAATAGTGCTTGCCCTCAGGGACTCACATTTACTGGGGAGAAAGACAAGCAAAAATATTTACTGTATAGTGCGACAAGCACGATAACCCAGGTAAGCACAAGTACTGTTTCAACACAAAATCACCAAAGTATTAATTTACTGCTTTCTCTCCTTTACCCTGGAATTGCACATCCTGAATGGCCACTCGCAACTTTAAACCCATGCTGAGGTGATTTTGCTGGTGTAACTTGCTAGATTTTATACAAGGGTCCTCTTTACTCAATGTTTATAATCTGAGTCCCCATGGTGGCCTAGGGAAAGGAAAGCCATCGTGACACAAAGTCTCACTGGTCCCCACTCACACATCCCTCCCTCCTCACAGGAGCCTCTACCACGCCCATGTCTTTGTCAGTCCCTATCCTCCTGACGGCTGGGCGTTATAAACAGAGCTGCTGTCAGCAAGGATGATGCTGGAGAATTACTCAAATCAGAAGCAAAGCCATAGACAAATACAGATGTGACAGAGTTAGTCCAATTAACAAGGATGAAGAGAAAACCTACAAGGATGGTGACATTGATAGGGACTTCAAAAGAGAAGGATTTGGCTACCAGGGGCTTGGAAAAGTTGATGGGGCCCTCAAATATTTTTGCAATAACAACCTTCTTTTTGATTGTGGTGCAAACATCAAATGTGAAGGGTCAGGTACAGTTTCATGCTATCAGACAATTTTGTTGGATAAGTCTCCCAATTTCAATACCAAGAAATAGCACATACCTTCAGTTATATAATCAAGGATTAGAATATAGCTGCAATGAAAACCTCAATTTTATTTAACATAAGCTTATTTACATTTTTTTGTTTCATTTTTTAAGATAAAGTCCCATTCAAAACTTTCTACATTTTCGTCCGTCTTAAGTAGGTTCACTTTCAATGGACTTTTTAATATATCAATTCTCTTTAGATTAAAAAGGACCTTGTATTACTGGGACTTCCCTGGTGGTCCAGTGGTTAAGACTCCCTGCTCCCAACGCAGGGGAACCGGACTCAATCCCCTGGTCAGGGAACTAGAGCTCACCTGCCGCAACTAAAGATCCTGCACGCACCAACGAAGATCCCACGTGCTGCAACTGAGACCCGGTGCAGCCAAATAAATAAATATTTTTAAAAAAGGACCTTGTATTACAAAAGCAACCATTTTTTGGCTTTTTAAAAAATATAAAATACAGTATAATGTTAAATACGCTTTTGTAAACTATGCACAGTCTCACTTACCCAACAGCCCCTGCTTGCCCCCCAGCTTTGAGAATTACATCCAGTCTGTGTATAAACGGCACAACTGAGTCATTAAGCTAGGTTTATTAGGCAAACCCTAGCACAAGTCTCACAAGGAGCAAGCAACCCAGCCAAGGCCACTAGCAGGAGGCCAGGCCCTACCTACCTGAGCATCTGCTTTTTGTGATTCTCCACTTCCTGGAGCAGAACTTGCTTCTCCGACTCTTTGTCTTGCTCTTTAGCCGACTGCTCAAGCTCCTGTGGGGGGAAAACAGCTCTAAATTAAAATGACTTTAAAAGCTAATACAAAACTGGAGAGCACTTCTATTTCTACCAGTTATGCAACAGCACTTGAAAACCCTCCTAGGGACTTCCCTCGTGGTCCAGCGGTTAAGAATCTGCCTTCTTAACGCAGGGGACGTGGGTTTGATCCCTGGTCGGGGAACTAAGATCCCACATGCCACAGGGCAACTAAGCCCGCATGCTTTAGAGCCTGCGCGACACAACTAGAGAGCCCATGTGCTGCAACCACTGAGCCTGTGCCCCACAACTAGAGAGAAGCCCACATGCCTCAACTACTAAGCCCGCAAACTCTGGAGCCTGCGGACCGCAATGAAGGGCCCGCGTGCTGCAACGAGAAATCCCACATGCCACAACTAAGACCTGATGCAGCCAAATAATTAAATATTAGAAAAAAGAAAACCCTCCTAGAACGGAAGACTTAGGAATGCCAGTTCACATACAACAAACATCCTTTTACATAGATAGCTCAGTCTGCAGGAGAGTAAGGAGCATCCCCAGGATCACAAAACGAGAAGGGAACTAAGAGCCAGAGCGGTCTTCCTGTGAGGGATGTGAGGCTGCCCTGGAGCAAGAGATATGCTTCTCTAATCTAGGGCATGCCTGAAAAGAAAAGGAAAAAAATACAACTATATAGGAGCCTACTGATTCCACTCTGAAATACGGTTTAAATACCACTGCTGTTGCTTCAAGCTTACTCTCAATCTCTGTGCATATTTCATTTTAGACTGGCGGCAAAGAGGGTTTTAAAGTCCAGGTGGGGGGACTTCCCTGGTGGCGCAGTGGTTAAGACTCCACGCTCCCAATGCAGGGGGCCCAGGTTCAATCTCTGGCCAGGGAAGTAGACCCTACACGCGTGCCGCAACTAAGAGTTCACATGCCACAACTAAGGAGCCGGCGAGCAGCAACTAAGGAACCCACCTGCCACAACTAAGGAGCCCGCCTGCTGCAACAAAGACCGAGCGCAACCAAATAAATATTTTTTAAAAAACAAAAAAAAATAAAGTCTATGTGGGGACAGAAAATGAAGCCTTGGCCATTTGAGGCCAGGAATTGGAACGGAGAACACCACAAAGCCAGGACCACAAAGGGATACACCCTCAGTGAAAAGGTGAACTAGGAAAATGTCTGTCAACAAGCACAGAGAAAATGTGGAAGCTTGTCCTTTTTTGCTGTGGGGTCTGGCTAGAGGGATACAAAATATCTTCTCTGAGAATATATAACCATGGAGCTACCCTCACACTGATCTAGGATTCAAATTCATACTCCCTGAGTGGTTTCAGAAACTCCACGAGGAGAAATGAACGTAAAAGTGCTCCCAGACTTGTGATAATCCCAGGAGACCTGGCAAAAGCAAATGCAAAAACCTTTGAAGAGACTTGCCTTCAACTCAGGCCACACAAAAGTCCCACCAGGAAGGGCTTCTGAAGAGGAGTAGTCAGAGCCCAAAATAACCAAACACCAGGACCCAACCGTCCACCACAATGAGGGACAGCAGACCTAACAACCAGCTGTCTGAGACCCCCAAGAACTTCAGATGATGGAACTATCAGACAGACTATAATTAAAGATGTCAATATACCTTGAGTCTCATGTCATATTTTTTTAACTGAAGTATAGTTGATTTACAATATTGTGTTAGTTTCAGGTATACAGCAAAGTGATTCCATTACACACACACACACACATATATATATATATATATATATATATATATATATATTCCAATTCTTTTCCATTATAGGTTATTATAAGATTTGAATATAGTTCCCTGTGCTATACAGTAAATCCTTGTTGTTTATCTATTTTCTATATAGTGGTGTGTATCTGTTAATCCCAAACTCCTAATTTATCCCTTCACCACCCTTTCCCCTTTGTTAACCATAAGTTTGTTTTCTATGTCTGTGAGTCTATTTCTGTTTTTGTAAATGAGTTCATTTGTATTATTCTTTAGATTCCACGTGTAAGTGATATCATATGATATTTGTCCTTCCCTGTCTGGTCATGTCATACTTTTGGCTTTCAAATTAAAACAAGTTCCAGTTTTAATCAAGCTATTGATGGAAAAACATAAATTATTAGCTCATTTGTATACTAATTTATTTATTTATATGCTTGTTTACACACTAATAAATGTTTGGAGATGCAGATTAAAACTGGGATGGAGTCAATACTCATTGACCATGTGCAAAATTATTAGGGCCTTACTAGGTGCCAGGGGTACACTGGTGCTTGAAGAGCTGATGATCGGGAGGGAGGGACATAACAAATGTGTAAATGTATTGAGGTTATCTTACTTAGTGAAGGACATACACACTGGGTGAGCACACAGACACTTAAACAGAAAGAACAAGGAAATACTTATACTTAAGGTGGTGAGTGTGGCTGGAGAGCTGAAGTCATATGAGTTGAAAAAAGGTTTTTCATGGAATAAATTTGCTTTAAAAAGCAAAAAAAACAGTCCAAATAAATGCCCTTTGACAGAGAACAGGCCAAAAATAAATTATGGCTATAAAAAAAGAATGAGGGGCTTCCCTGGTGGCGTAGTGGTTGAGAGTCCGCCTGCCGATGCAGGGGACACAGGTTCGTGCCCCGGTTCGGGAAGATCCCACGTGCCATGGAGTGGCTAGGCCCATGAGCCATGGCCGCTGAGCCTGCGCGTCCGGAGCCTGTGCTCCGCAACGGG